CGTCATCACCGTATTTCAACCTATCGCGACCGTCATCATGTCATTTTCACAACCAATCACGACCGTCACTCTCAAACTCCTGCCAAAAAAATAGCTGTTTTTCTATTAAGGAATTTGTTTACAAACGTCAAATCACGTGAAACTATATCCTTTTTACATAAAAGGATTTCATTTAAAAATCAAAAGAAATCAGAACGTTTTTCTTTTTTCCAATAAACTTCTAACCTTATTATATTCGAAAAATCCCTTTTACAATAAAACTATTTCTGCTAACGATTAAAGGACATAATTTAAAAGGAAATTAGTTTTATGTTGAATAGATCATTTTTGTGAGTGTACAATAAAAATATTTTACTTTTATTTATATTCTTATATTATGTTCAACACACAATAATAAGGACATAAAAAATGCTATTGTGGACTTGCAACCTTAAAAAGCTGTTTATATTTTGTTGTTTCTTAATTTTAAATATATAAATAAATGAAAAGAATACAACGTAAAGTTTTTGCTTTTTGATTAAATAGCGCCTCAGACGGTCTTCGGCCGTCTTCGTTGCTTCTGTTGCATGTTTATTTTTGTTCAATTTTTAAAATTTCTAATGTTAATTTTTTCAATTTATGTTTTTTCAAATAGAATTCCATTTTATTAAAAATATTTTTTTTAAGTATAAAATTTTCTATTAATTTAATTATATTTTTAATTTGAAATTATATGTTATTTATTATATGTTGTCGTGCACATGAAAAGGGCCCATATTGTCGGTTCTAGTTTTCGAGATAATCGCAATTTAGTAATTTTGGAGCAAAATCTTAATTTTTTTTTATTTTTTATTATCAATCTACATGTTTTGACAAGTCAAATCATGCGGTTTTCATTAATTTACCAAGAATTTAACTGTTTGATTTCATTGGTTCTTTAGAAAAATGAGGTTTTGGCGTTCTAAACTTTGAAATTCCGTACCCAGTAAACGAAAACAAATTGAAATGAATTAAAAAGAATTCACAAAGAGCTTTCGTGAATCCCGCTTTGTGACAAATACGAATTGGAGCCATGATGCAATTTTCCCGAATTCGTGAAACTGTATTGAACTTCCGAACCTTCTATCCGTACCAATTCACTGGACAAGTTTTGAGCCTTTAATTTTTTTCAATTCCTTAGCACGAATTCAATGCATTCCTTGGCCATTTCTTTCGAATGCGAATTCGTTTGGACAAATTGGTACATATTGAATTAAATTCAATTGAATATACAAAGAGCTTAAGTGAATCCCGCTTTGTGACAAATACGAATTGGAGCCTACCAAAAATGTTAATTCGTTTCAATTCATTTGAATTAGTTTTTTTTTACTGGGTAATTCAACGAATTTTTAATCAAAAAAGTTCTAAGACCACTCAAAATTTTCCAAATTTTGCCAGGAATACGCCCATATAGATAACTCCAATAGTGCCAAAATGGGCCCTTTTCATATGGACGTCCACATATTATTTATTTAGTAGTAAAATAATAATTTCAATGTTATTACATTTAGTATCATCTTTGGTAACTTAACAACAATAATAATGTTTACTTCATTTGTTTAAATGTTAATAATTTTTTTTAACTTATACATATTTTTTTTGTATTTTATAATTATATAATTATAATATTTCTTTCAATTTTCAAAGCAAATTAATGTAAATGACCATAATATACTTTATGTTTTAAGGCATATGCTCACAATAGGTTTCTTTTGTTTTTCTGCTATAATGGTTGGAGGACTAAAGTTCCAAAACAGAAGTTCCAATGAAAAAAAGTTCAAAAGATTTTAATTTCCAAAGACTGAAAGTTCCAAAAGTTATCTTTTTTTCAAAACTTTTTTTTTCCAAAGACCACAATATTAGTCATAATATTGTCTTTTAACTTTCTCTCCCTATTCATATTTGTCTCTTTCATACATTTTTTGAATCATTAATGTTTTTTAAAATTTTTGTACTTTTTACATATATGAGGAGTAAGCTTTTAAAATCTGATAAACCCCTTTTATCATGCCACCCTTCAAATAGTAAATCTTTTTATAAAAAAGCTACAAAGTAACACTTTATAAATAAAACAGAAATTAATTTTTTAATTTCAAACATGAGAAAAATTATTTCTCCAACACTTGCTCTGAAAGGAGTACTTTTCTTGGTAGAAAAGTGTGGCGAAAGTAGAACTTTTCTCAACTGCTCTGAAGAGCGTGGCGAAAGTAAAATTTGGCGTGGCGAAAGTAAATTCAGCGTGGCGAAAGTAATTTTTAGCGTGGCGAAAGTAAATCATGAATTTATTCTTTTTTCTTGTTCTTTGACCGAGATTTATTTTGTATCTAACTTCTTCCCCACTCAAAACATTCGTCTTTTATTATATTAAACATAAGAACATTTTAAATTAAAATTAAACGAAACTCACGAAGAAACCTTTCCTCGCAAGGCGTTGGAGAAAACGTAGTGCACAACTCGTGGTGAAAGAATGATCTCGAAAAATCACACTTTCGCCACTAGTTGTACAATGTACTATTCTTCTAATACTGAATGCTTAGGTAAAATTCTCCGACCAAGCTGTTTTCTTACATAGCACACGATTTGATAAAAATGTTATTTAGATATTTCATTTCCCGACTATTTCCCGGTTTTTCCCAGTTAACCAAGAAGTAGTAGACACCCTGAATAAATTATTCATTATTGAATATTTTTTTCTATTTAAAACGTTCTGTTTGTAATTAAAGTCTATTGTAATAAGGGAATTTAAAGGTTTTCATCAAGGTTAGGCTGAAATATTTTTTAAATTGAAAAATCTTTGGTAATAATTTTTTTTTTAAATTGAACATTGATAATAAATCGATTTCTAACGAATGCTTTGAATGTGTTTATCTCAATATTGCTCCTCATTACATTTAAAATTATATTGGAACTTTCGTGTTTTGGCACTATTTTTTTTTGGAACTTTTGTCTTTTGATTCATTTTTATTTTGGAACTTTCGGATTGGAACATTTGTTTGGAACTTTTTGTGTAGAACTTTTGATCTACAATCATTATAATAAGATAATTAGATTAGATTAGTTTTAGATTTTAGTTTTAGATTTCTTTGTATTCTTATATTATAAATAATACTTTAAATTTTCATTTTTAAAATATAATTAACTATTTTAATTTTTATTTTTAAACTTCTTTTTATTTTTAAATTAACTATTTTTAACGAAATCACTCAGAGCACTAAAAATATTTTTGAACGAAAGCTATAGTTTATACAAAATATACAAACAAAAAATAATCAAAAAACTACCGTGTGTCTCCTTATGTATTTTTTTAGTAATGATATAAAAAATACATCTTTCCACAAATAATTGTTTTATTTATTATTGTTTAGTTATTATAAACGCGTATATAATTAATATGTTTTTTTTTGTTTTAATATAATTTTAAGCTACCAAAACAACAGAAATTCTTTTTGTTTGTGTGGTGTTCTTATGCCATGTCTTTTTTAAGAAAGGATAATTCTCATACTTAATTACTATTCATCATATTTAATTAAAAATTATTATCATATTCAACAATTAGGTTAGGTTTCTTTTAGTGTCCATGACAGCTCCAAACGACCGGGGTGGTCGGCCCCGACCTAGCTTTAATATATATACACACAATTTGACAGCTAACCTATTTTGTGTTTCTAAAAATGTATTATACCTATATATTTTTTTAAATAAATTAAAACTTCTAATAGTTAACAATCATGATGTCATGTCAATTATGATTATATATTAAATATTGTTATCACTTATATATGTGTTTTGTGTTTGTGAATAAAAATGTATGTGTTGTGTTGTGACAGGCTTGCTTGTGTGTGTCCGTGTCCGTGTGGTTCCACCTTTCGAGTTCTTCGATATTTCGATTTCAACTCGAACTCTCTTTTTTAAGAAAAGGATAGCGAGATATTTTCCAAAAAACTTCCTAACATATTAATGAACATTTTTGTCGCTGAAAGTTTTCCGAAAACGAAAATTCGTCACTCAACTTTTTCAATTGAAAATAGGAGAATCATTTTTCCGACAAAATTATTTAAATAATTATTTACTTTGACATACAATTTCTTTTTTAAATTTCCAAATATTGTTTCACTCTTGGAATAGTTTGAAGAATATTGTGTGTAAATTTCGTGGAAAAATATTAATATTTAACGAAGTAGTCACGAGTTGAAGTCAAAAATTCATTAAAATTTCTTAACTCAAAAAATCACGTTTTTTTCAATTTACGTGAAAACGAGAAATTATATGAAAAATTTTTATTAGAAAAAAAGTTTCGCCTTGAAATTCTGTACAAGAAACAATAATTTAAAATTCATTTTGAACAACTTCAAAATTTTATCTCCAGGGGCCAACTTATTTGCCGTGTGCTCGCGCGTGTGCCCTTTTAAGATCCGGAGCCTCATATTTCAAATCATTCACGGAAAAAAAAATCAGCCTAATAATGCATGGAGTCTATTGGTTCGATTTTTACATGAGCCCATTTTGCAAATATCACACAGGAGTTTACTAAAAATGCATGGCTTTTGTGACTTTTGCCACAGCACCATGCGAAAATAGGATGGATTCCAAGCTAATCACGCATGGTAGTGTGCGTGCAATATACACAACAGACGCTCATGTGTTTTTAGCCTAGTATTTTTTTCCGTGTTGAATTGAGGAAATTTTTTGAAAATAATTTAAATTTTGTCAAGAATTTTATTAAAATTTTTGAAAATAATTGAATTTCGGAGAAGAATTTTATTATTTCTAAAGATAATTAAAATTTTGCCAAGAATTTAAAAAATAAAATATAAAAATAATTGAATTTTTGCAATCATTTGTAATTTCTCTAAAATTCTCCAAATTATATCGTACAATTTACGAACTTTTCATCCTTTTTCAATAAAAATTACGGACTTTTACGGGATTTACGGACCTAGTTCGAGCCTTGCTGACTGAAAAAACTGAAATTTCCAACTCACCAATGATACCAAGCATCGCAATCATCACATCCTACCATGGGTGATCCATCGTCTTGGCTTCCGCACGCAGGACAAATCCAAATTTGATTTCCACTTTGATCCTGTAACACTCGTTTCGTAAGAGAAGAAATATCAAAGGCAAAAGGGAATTTAACAACCTAACCCATCCTTTAAAGGTGTTTCAAAATATTCTTATTTGCTCTCAATAAATTATTGAAAATATATTTTTTAATAATATAATTACATGATATGTATTTTCAAATGATGAGCGCAAGTTTATTAAAATGTAATGAATGAAACTTGCATATGCTGAGGGATTAAAGATTCGTTCTGTGAAAATGAGACTCTGCTCTTTTTTAAGCAGTATAATGATTTTATCAAAATGATATAATGAACAATGTGACATCATACGCAGATTTCGATTTAAAATTTATATTCCTATACGTTTGACTTGTCTCTTCTTTATTTCATTTTTTCCCTTTTCTTCAAATTCTATAAATCAATCGTCAATAATAATTCCTTTCCTAGTCACTAAAATTTTCATATATATTGGAGTAAAAATATTTTTTTATCCCACATGCACAAAAATGGCGCTTTTAGATAGCTGACGACAGGGAGTAAAGTCACTCATTTGTTCGACCATATGAAAATGGCGTCCATTTTCTCCCAAGAGGCAAACATAACAGCTGATCCCATGCGTTATTTTTGCCCATGGGAGAAAACGGCCGCCATTTTCATATAAGTCGAACAAGTGAATGACTTTTACTCCCTGTCGTCTGCTATCTGAAATCGCCACTTTTGTGCATTAGGAATAAAAAATATCGTAAGAAACACGGGAATAAAGGCAGCCAATTTGTTTACGATGATTTTTGTGACACTCGTGTCACAAAAATCACCGTAAACAAATGGCTGCCTTTATACCCTTGTTGCTTAATATACTATTAATTTCTGCTTATTTTTATCTACCTACCTAATTTCATATTATGGGATTATTATTCTATCAAACCTTTTAGTATTTTTTACTAGATTTTCCAAAACTACTTTGAAAGGAAAAAGAAAATAAGAATTGCGATTTGCAATTTTACGTTTAAACTTTAAATATAAAATTAATTTTTTTATTTAACAGCAAGGAAGGGTAGGGAAAGAACTTACCGCTGAAGCAGTTGGTGGTGAAATCAATATGTTTCCTCCATTTTCCTTGTCTTCTTTTGTATCTTCTTTTTTCGCAACTGCAGCTGGTTTCACCTCTGTACCGTGAAAACTTATTGTTATATACCTAACAGCTTGGTCATGCTAATTTTTTAAGCAAAAAACCATGCGCTTTCCATGCAACTAATTTTCCTTATTAATAATAATTAGCTACTTGCTTCTACTCCAGTAGCATTTCTAGTTTCTACAAATTTAAAAAAAAAGTTAAACTCAACTTAAAGAAGACAATGAAACAGTTTTTCTTCAAAGAATACCTATTAGGATTGTACAGTAGCAATTTTTTTTATTTTCAATATTTTTCAACTTTAAAAATTCTAATAACCCTTCTAATTAACAAAAATGCATATCACTTTTATCAATCAATCGACAATAAACAAATTTTGTTAAACTATAAATTACTAATATATTAAATTTTAATTACAGATGAAATTTGTTATTAACAACTAAAATTGTTTATTATAATTATAGAATTGATATTAAGCGATCATTTTTTAAGTACATAATAATAAAAAGTTTATTTTTTTCTATTAGTGCAAACAGTACTTTATAATGTTTCTTGACTAAATTTTTAAGAGAATACAAAAATAATAGAAAGAAGTTCTTTCATTCATATATACCTTTTAATTTCATAATGACGTATATAAAAAAAAGCTAGCTCCTATTTACAAAGCATTGCAAAGAAGAGACAAGTATAATATTCAACAAAATTTTAATCATACGTCAAATTAAAATGAAAAAAATTTGAGGCAAGCATTAAATCAATTTTCTTCACAATAAATCATTAGAAAAGTATGTGACAAGTTGTCCACAATAGGCAAGTATATGTCTTGCGCATGCATAGAGCTCACAACAGGAAAACATGTAAAGCTCTCCATAGGCTATGCATTATTGCTCGTATAAATTTGCCCATTGTGGACTCAACCTGACGCGCTCTGAAAAAAGGTACTTAAGAATAAAGTGACCATACGTCCCGGATTGTGCGGGACTGTCCCGGATTTTATCCCTTTGTCCCGCAAAGGCTAGCGTCCCGCAAAACGTCCCGCATTTGACATAAAATGTCCTGCATATCCCGGAAAATAGTTAAGAATATCCTGCATCTACAGGTTAGCACAGTAACGTATAAGAGTGAGAGAGATAGACTTCGTGATATTTTAAGAAAAATTCAATTGTCAGAAGAATATGTGATTTAATGTTACAAAATAAGCATAATATAAATATGTAAATGCCATAAGACGCGCGCTGTCTCAATTCCCCTCCAATTTACTCCTACAAATTCCCTGTTCCTTTTTTCTTGTGGCAAATGACCTTCTTTTTTTTTTTTTTACTAAATGATATAAATAAGAGGACGTCCCGCATTGACACTATTTCCATATGGTCACTTTATACTTAAGAAGCAAAAAAACTAGCTTATGTTTGTCATATTTTCAACGAAAATATACAAAGGGGATTAACTCTCAATATAAATAACCGTTGTTTAACTCTTCATTACGTCTAAAATAATTAATAAAAACTGATTTTAGTTTCACAGAAATAAACAGAAATTTTTAATTGAGGTACAAATAACACAGCCACACAAAAAAAATAAAGTGTCTTGATCTGGGGTCGAGACATATGTATTCCGATGTATTTCGATGCGCTGAATCCGAATCCGCCATCAGAATTTGGCCAATGGGTCCTGGTTTCGCCCTAACCTCGAAAAATACCCTAAAATCGTTAAAATGGTCACTTTTGATTTATCAAAATTGAATCAAATTGAATCTAACCGCATATTGATAATTTTCTCAGATTCCTTAATTTAAATAAACTATTCTATAAGCTTTTTAATTGAAAATTCATATAAAACATTAAATATATCGAACCTAACCTCAAAAACACATCTAAGATTCCAAACAAACAAATTATACCATACACAGCGCAATAAAAATTATGTAAACTCATGAAAGTTACAACTTAGGTGTTTCTATGATTGCTGATTACGAATCCGGTGTTAGTTTATCATAATTCAAAATTCGTAAGACTTTAAGATTATAAAAATTGATATACGATTTGCCTAACAATTCTTAACACTTTAAGATTATAAAAATTGATATAGGATTCGTCATCAAAGGTCCCGAAAAACCGAGAGTAATAAATTTTAAAAAATCATTAAAATAATAAAGACCGCCATATTGGATCCGCCATTTTGAATTTTTAGAAACCGACATAGGATTCGTCATCAGCGACCCCCAAAAACCCCCCGAGTAACGATTTTCAAGCCAATCCAAACAAATTTTAATTATATTGTTCGCCATATTGGAAAAGCCATTTTGAAATTTGATAAACTAACACCGGCTTCGTAATCAGCAGTCATAGAAACACCTAAGTTGGAACTTTCATGAGCTTACCTTTTTTTTATTGCGCTGTGTATGGTATAATTTGTTTGTTTGGAATCTTAGATGTGTTTTTGAGGTTAGGTTCGATAGATTTAATTTTTATATGAATTTTCAATTAAAAAGCTTATAGAATAGTTTATTTAAATTAAGGGATCTTAGAAAATTGTCAACATGCGGTTCAAAAGTGAGCATTTTAACGATTTTAGGGCATTCTTTGAGGTTAGGGCGAAACCAGGACCCATTGGCCAAATTCTGATGGCGGATTCGGATTCAGCGCATCAAAGTACATTGGAATACATATGTCTCGACCCCAGATCAAGACACTTTATTTTTTTTGTGTGGCTGTGTAACACAAACAGGACTCGAACCAGTTTAAGTATTTTAAAATACGGACTTTACGGACCAATTAACGATAAAAATATAACCAGTCCGAGTCAAATAAGAGAACAAATAGAATTTTTCATAACTATAATCCATTTGTTTTTTGTTTACAGTATTCAATTTTTCGAAAATTTTTTCAAAAAAATTAATTTCAAAATTCAATTATTTTTAAAAATTCACGCTATATTGCTCTTAATATTCAATTATTATACAAAATTTTAACTGAAATTAATTTTCAAATCAATTTTTATTAGAAAATTCTACTAGAATTCAATTATTTAAATACAAAAATAAATATTTTGTTTAATAATTGAATGTTTCTTAAAATTGAATTCTCATAAAGAATTTTATCAATAAATTTTTAAATAATTGAATTGTTTTGACGAATTTTAATAAAATTTTTAAGAATAATAATTATATTTTTCGAGGATTTCGATTAAAATGGTGTTAAAAATAATAATAATTCTGCAATGAGTTTTATTATTTATGAAAATGATTGAATTCCTAAAAAGAATTTTATTATTTACGAAAATATTTGAATCCCTGTAAAAATTTTTGTTATTTACGAAAATAATTGAATTATTGGGAAGAAATTTATAAAAAAATTTGTAAATAATGAAATTACTGTGAAATTTCTATTACTTTTTGAAAATTAGAATAGTAGATACTTATTACATATCATTGAATTGAGGATAATTTTTGAAAATAATTGAAATTTTGCCAAGAATTTTATTAAAATTTTTTAATACAATTGGATTTCGGAGAAGTACTATCTAATTATTTCTAAAAATAATTGAAATTTTGACGAGAATTTAAAAAAAACTTTGAACATAATTAAATTTATGCGATAAGAATTTACTTTTGAAAATAATTGAATTTCTGCAATCATTTGTAATTTCTCTAAAATTCTCCAAATTATATCGTACAGTTTATAAACTTTTCATCCTTTTTCAATCAAAATTACGGACTTTACCTACCTTTTTTTAAAAAAACGGACTTTTACGGACTTCAAGCAAAATATTACGGACCTACACGGAGAAAAATTTTCTGTTAATGATTACAATAGTCGAACAGTACTGCTCGGATATGTGACCACTTTTCGTAATGCCTAAAGTAGCTTCGTTGTAACAATTCTGTAAGTCGAACGTACTCATTAAAAATTTATTTGAAATAAATACGAACTAAATATGAGTTAGCACAAAGTCTATGTGACTGATTACAATAGTCTACGTTAAAAGGAAATCTTGGATTCTATCCACATTTGCAGCAATCTAAGAGAATCAGTGATACAGTCTGTAGTAGCCTTTACAACAGGACTATTGTAAAATAAGGTGACCGCGGCTGCCTTGCCTTCTTATTTTACTATAGTTCTTTGTAAAGACTACTATTGCTATATTTCTGATTACAAATGACTGTTGTAAAGTTGAAAAAGAAAATTTTCAACTAAAATAAAATTTTTTTGTAATTCATGACTTCTAATCATGCAATAGCACATTAATTTCACTCTTCCAAGACTACCCCCTTCAAGATTAATTATATTATTAAACTAGACAATTTCACTAAACCCTAAGTACATAAATCTAACTTAAATACTAAACGCATAACATAATAACGATCGCTATTTACACATATTTATACATGACTTAAACTTCCTTATATACAAACTGCTATGAAAGTTCACCGCTTGCGAGAAAGACTTATACACTTTAAATGTAAAAAAATCACTTCGTTCTCAATAATTAATAAAATTATTGTTCATTGCTAGTCTTTAATATTGTAAGGTCTATTTTTTATTAGATTTCCATAGTGAAATTTTTTTTTCTAACACACTCACCGAAGGTACAAGATTTCTTGCCTGTATAAATTGTTATATAATTTACACAACTTACGTAAGTTACGTAAATAACAAAAGTAAGTTACATTAATAAGTAAGTTAACTTACGTAAATAACTTAAGTTACGTAATGGACGAATTATTGTAAATTGCACTAATTAGGTAACTTACGTACTTTACGCAAGTCATAAATTACAAAAGAAAAATATTTTAGTTGAAAATTTTCTTTTTTAACTTTACAACAGTCATTTGTAATCAGAAATATAGCAATAGTAGTCTTTACGAAGAACTATAGTAAAATAAGAAGGCAAGGCAGCCGCGGTTACCTTATTTTACAATAGTCCTGTTGTAAAGGCTACTACAGTCTGTATCACTGATTTCCTTAGACCGCTACAAATGTGAACAGTATCCAAGATTTCCTTTTAACGTAGACTATTGTAATTATAACAAGTCTCTGCGTGAATGCCTACAGTACCCTTTCTGAACCTGTACATCTAAACTATTAATGATTCCAAAAAATAAATTTCAACACGATTAATACAGTGTTTGGATTCATTAAAGTAACTATAGTAATCGCTCCTACTAAATTCTTAATAAATTACATAGTTTTCGTAATCATTACAAAAAGTGGTCACATATCCGAGCTGTAATATAGACTATTGTAATCATTACGAAAGAAATTTTCTCCGTGTAGTTCGAGCCCTGCACAAACATAACTTTTAAACAATTTACTTCTTAGGTACTTTTCTTTGAAGCGTGTCACATATATTCTCAAATAATTTCAAAATATTTGTTTCAGGTTTTACGTTTTCTTTCGAGTTAGCAGTAATTTTATGTCCATTTATTTTTATAAACATTTCTCATTAAATATGTAAATAGATATTATATAATTTTTTGTTAAATTAAAAATTATAGAATATTCGCTACCACGCAAATTAAGAAACATTTTATAAAAAAAAATTTATCACATCATTACATACTAAGAGATTTTGAAACAGAATTATCCATTTAGTATGTCATTAATAATGATTTTTAGCTTTTTTTTGTTGAATGTATCATATGAAAATGTTTTTCTCTCAAAAATATGAATAAAAAAAGATGCATGTAATGATAATTCACTTGACTAATTATTTATGTGCTTAGAAAATTTAATTGTTTTAAACTAAACTTTAAAAACAATGCAGGTATTTTAAACTGAATGTGTCGAGCGGGCGGACGCACGCTCTAATATCAGTCAGTTCAGGCAGCAGTGAGAGGCGCTCACTGCCACTCGCCTCGTATTAGAAACTCTCAATTGTTTGTTTCAAAAATTCTTCAAATTCAGTGCACTTGTAAATTTGGTGATAAAGTAGATTTTAAAAAAGTGATTCATGAAACCAAGTTTAATAAAAAATAGAGTAACCTGATTTTGACAGAAATTCCAAAAATTTGATTGTTTATTTGATCTAATGTTCAAAGTACTGAATGATTATTCGAGTTTTAAAATCTAGGTCAAAATCAGGAGATTCAAAAAATCAACTATAAATATAGTAAGTAAAGAATATAAAAATAAATTTTGATATAAAAAATCGTTATGCGAACATAAGAAAAGATAGGTATAATATATAATAATTTTTCTAATTTCTACAGAATAAATACTAGAGCACAAAAAAAATAAATAAATAAATAAACGAAAAAAGATTAAAAGAATCAACTAAAAGAAAAGCTGTACCATCACCACAGAACACAGAAGAAATATCAGAAAAGAGAATGAGGGATATGGAATATGATGGGGTGTATGATCTTCTCCATTTACAGCCTGGATGGGTTGGGCTGACTTTCTTTAAAAATAATTTCTGCAAATTTTGTCTTAACGTATTAGTATAAAAAATACTTGTTTGCGTTTCTTTAACGAGACAACTAATATAAATAAAAAAATTTATTTCTGAAAATAGATACGATAAAAATAATAAGAAAATATTATACAAAATGATGTGAATTTATGTGAAATTGAAACAATTATAAATAATAAATTGAAATGAAAATATTTATCACGTTTGTTTTTTAAGGGTAAGAAAAAATACTTACAACATAGAAAAATGTTGATTGCTGCTGCTGCAATGGAGGACTTGGAGTTTTAGGATAGGAATATATAGGAGGTGATGCGAGAGGTTTAAAGATGGGTCGTTTTGTTCGGGGAGTGGATGAAAGTGATAAACTAGAAGAGAAAGAAGATTCTGAAGAGAGAGCGGGATATAGGTCTATATTGCCCTCCTCTGATTTCTTACTTGGTGCCTTCTGTTTTGGCGGCCGAGTAACGAGAGCCGAGATTTTCGCTAATTCCGGACTTGGCTCTCTTTTTATCGCTTCCTCTTCCGGTTTCTTCAATAATGGTTTTATGGTTCTAAAATAAAAATAAAAATACTAATTATTAATTTTAAATTCAAAAATTTATTAAATTACTTAAAAATATTAATCTAGTCTTACATTTTTTTCATAGGAGCACTATCGGGAGTAGGAGGTCTTGGAGATGACGTTCCAAGTTTGAGAGTAAGTTTAGGAACTGCAATTTCATGTGGAATTACAGCTTTTTCTTCTTTCTGCAAACACATATATTTATTTACTTTTAGAAAAATTTTAAAAACAAGAATAGTAAAATAAAAACAGGATTGCCACGCTCATTTCAAATTGCCTGACTTTTTCAGGTTTTCCAGGTTAAAAAACGAAATTTTTCCAGGTTTTTAAAACTACTATATTTTTCTAAAAATTTACGCTATAATACTTTCTCTTCAAATTTGAATTAGTAAAAATAAAAATGTTGACTAATTGTAAGTAGTGACTGACTTTTCGCTTTTGAATTAGTAAATTTTACTATTAAAGTAGAAACGACTATTTATTAGTAAACTCTTCTAATTCAAAAGCAAAAAGTCAGTCACTAATTCAAATTCGAAAACATTTTTACCAATTCAAATTTAAAGAGTTTAATATTCAATTATTATCTAAAATTTTAACTGAAATTCATGTTTAAATCAATTTTTATTAGAAAATTGTACGAGACTTCAATTATTTAACTACAAAAATAAATAATTTATTAATGAATTGAATGTTTTTTTAAAATTGAACTCTCATTTAAAAAGAATTTTATCAACAAATTTTTAAATAGGTAATTAAAATTCTTTTTACGAATTTCAATAAAAGTTTTAAGAATAATTAGATTAAAATTGTATTAAAAATAATTGAATCTCTGTAAAAAATTTGATTAAATTGAGAAAAGTTTTTGAAAATAACTGAAATTTTGCCAAGAATTTTATTAAAATTTTTGAAAATAATTGAATTTTGGAGAAAAATTTTATTATTTTTAAAGATAATTGAAATTTTGACGATAATTTTTAAACTTTAGACCTTAATCGAATTTCTGCGAAGAATTTTATTACTTTTGAAAATAATTGAATTCTTTTAAGAAATTTAATTAAAAATGTATTGACAATAATACTTAAACTTTAATAAATAAATTATAGGAAGGCTTTTTAAAATAATTGCATTTCTTTGATGAATTTTAAATAAAATTTTTAAGAATAATTACATTTTTCGAGAAATTCTATTAAAATTTTATTAAAAATAATTGAAATTCTGCGATGAGTTTTATTATTTATGAAAATAATTGAAAACCTATATAGAATTTTATTATTTTTATGAAAATAATTGAATTCCTGGTAAAAAAATATTATTCTTCATGAAAATAATTGAATTAAAAAATTTGTAAATAATAGAATTCCTGTGGAATTTTGAAATAATTGAATTCATTTTTGAAATTTTATTGAAATAGTATACATTGAAAATAATTGAATTTTGACAAATTTTTGAAATTAATTAAATTTCTATGAAGAGTTTAATTAAAATTATTTTGAAAAAAATTGAATTGTTAAAAAGAATTTCATTAAAATTTTTAAAAACAATTTAATTCTCGCAAGAAATTTAATTAAAAATGTATTGACAATAATACTTAAATTCTAAAAAAAATTTATCGAAAGGCTTTTTAAAGTACATAATTGAATTTCTTTGATGAATTTTAATAAAATTTTTAAGAATAGGGTGATTCTTCATTCAGTGGTCACTTTTGCTTTCCCACTGTTCCCTATTTAATAACTTGAAAAATTGTTATCTAATCTACTTCAACCTTTTGCATAATTAATCTTCAATATGTTTTTTAGTAATATCATAATCGAAAAAAATTTTTAATTTAAAACAAAAGTTGTAATTCGATTGCAAATGTTCAAAAAATGCACATTTGTCGTTTCTCCACACATGAATCATGAAGTTTAATATGTTTTATTTTGCACAAACTTTATTTTAAACGTTTTTTTATTTATTCTATTCGAAAGTTCATCTCGAAAACTAAGTTTTTGTGTGTCGTTTTCTAATTTTCATTAACAAATCTGTGTAAAAATATTTTTTTAATATTTTCCCCACTCTTTTTTTATTTGGAACTGGAGATTACAATTTCATTGATTTTCATTAATTTTGTTCCCTTTTTTAGTGCGGTTTTATTTGCCATTAATATTATTAAGTTAATAAGTTGTATTTATGTTAAATTTGCAAAAAGAAATATAATTTTTAGATTTAAAACTACAAAAGTTACTATTATTTTATAGCGTATTTTAATGGTATGTAAACTCCAGTTCCGCCAAAATTACCAAATTCTAAATGTATAAAAAAAATAAAAATAATAGTGATTTAGAGTAAGCAAATCTCTTTAATAATCTGCAAAAATTGTTTATTTTTATGAATTTTTACGGTTTTAATTAATTTTTTTCTGTGATTCGTAAACTCCAGTTCCTGTAAACTCCAGTTCCTAATTTCGTTTCGCGTAATGGAAGTGTTTTGTTTTTTTGAATGAATATTATTAACCTCGATTAACTTGTATCAAAACATGTAATTCCAATAACAGGTATGAGTAAAAATATTATTTATTTATTAATTAAAGCAGTTTAAAGTAATTATTTGCTTATTTACACTATTTATAATTATTAACAGTCAAAAATTAACTTTTTCAAATAAATTATTTAACCTTTAAATTACAAATTTTTAAATTGTTTGTATATAAAACTAAAAAAAGAATTAAGCTTAAATATCTATAAAATAATCATTCTCAAGCTTTATTAAAAAGATCTAAATAAAAAATTTCCAAAAATTTAATTAAAAAAAAAAATTTTAACATATTCAAAAGTTACCACTTTGTGGAGAATCACCCAATAATTACATTTTTCGAGATATTCGATTAAAATTTGTATTAAAAAATAATTGAAATTCTGCGATGAGTTTTATTATTTATGAAAATAAATGAAAACCTATAAAGTTTTTTATTATGTATGAAAATAATTGAATCTCTGTAAAAAAATTGGATTATTTATGAAAATAATTGAATTATTGCTAAGAAATTTATAAAAAATTTGTAAATAATAGAATTCCTGTGAAATTTTCATTATTTAATTAATTCATTCAAAATTGAAATTTTAAAAAATTGCAAATTAAAATCTTTTGAAGTTTATCCATTTATGAAAATTGTAAACGCAACTTTTTTAAAATTCAATTAATTTTGAAATATTTAAGAAAAATTAGATTTCAAGAATAAACACAATAACTTTAGAAAACAATAATATTTTTGAGGATTTCGATCAAAATTCCCTGACATTTCCAGGTTGCGTGGCAATCTTGAAAAAGTAAAAATTACAAATTACAGAAAAATAATTACCACAGTCTTTTTGTTTAAATCCTTTTCTTTACGCTTTTCGCGTTTCTCTTTTTTCTCTTTAATTTTCTCCAGTTTTTCTTTCTTCTCACCTTTTTCCTTCTTTACTTTTTCGCCTTTTTCTTTGTGCTTCTCTTTTTTGTCTTTCTTCTTCTTAATTTTATCTTTTTTCTCTTTTTTATGCTCCTTAGATTTCTAGAAACAAATAAAATATAATATAGGTACAAATATTTCGCAAAAGTAATGTAGATAATTTGTTTGATACACCAAATTTTTAGTTTTTAATAAGTAAAGAAAAATGAAAATATCAAAAATATTTACATGTTATTTTATGAAATTTAAGATTTCGTTTCCTATCAAAATATGCAGTTGATTTAAATCAAATTACAAAGGTCGACAAAATTAAAATATAAATTTTGGTACGGCAAATTTCAAAGCTGTTTCTGATAGGTTTTTTCATGTTGATTATGAATCCGTTATCATTTATTTTTGATTTATATTTTTTTGACGAATAAATTTTCTTAAAGTTTAAAAATAAAATCTACAATTTTTTCTAAAAATGTAATAAAAGATTTTGGACAACAAATTCGTAATCAACACGAAAAAACCTAACAAAAATCGGGCAATCGTTGTATTTGGTTTTCTGTTTTTCAAAATGGGCTCAATGCAGGCTTCACAGTGCCCCTAAACGGAGAGAAAAAAAAGTAAGCGGCTCTACCTGTCGGTAGAGCGGTTGCGTTAAATGCGAAACAGCCGTTCAACTTGAGGTTAAGCACGCTGCTTACTCTCGAGGGGAGAACGGTTCTCCTTTTTGGGAAAAGCGGGTACACTTTTTGGAAAGTAAGCGGCTCTATTTGTGTGGAGAAGAGAACCGATACTCCTCAAAAAGTATAACCGTTCGACGTTTGCGGCGCAACTGCTGCGCTTTATAAAGGGAAAACAGCGCTCTCTTGCCAAATCAAACGGCTCACTTTTTTTTCTCTCCGTGTAAGAAGTATTTTAGGGGAAATAGGGGACTGAAAATTAAAAAACAGGGGACTTTTAGGGGACCATAAAAATTGGTTAAATAAAGATAAAAATATAATTTATTTATACAGGGTTGCCACAAAAATTTAACTTTATTTTTCCCTGACTTTTCCCTGATTTCCAAACACAACTTTGACTTTTTCCCTGACACTAAAGAATATTCTGATTCACTCTAGAAATTATTAGATACCCAAAAAAATGTTTTATTAAATTTATTTACAAATTTCTTCAAAAGTAAAATTATTTGAAAACATCAATAGTTTTATTTAAAATAAATATTCGTATCATTTCAATTTAATTAACATTTTCTAGAATTTTTAACTAAAATTCTACTTTAAATCAATAACATCAATTATTAGGGGAGTAAAGTCGAGGTTGGACCACTGTCTAGGTAGGCCATTCGCGTTTTTTTGTCAAGTTCACTAGCGCCACCTACGCGCATGCTTGTCGAAGCTTGTCTTAGTGAAACCTAACTTTTTGTTCAATTACATTTTCGGAGAATCAAAAATAGTGTTTTCTATGACGTCAGTACAAAAAAAGCTCAAAAAAAGTTTTGTGCATTATGTGAAGAACCATTAATAAAAGATAAAAAAAATTAGATGAAAAATTTTTTTTTTTTGTGGATTCACTGAGAGAAATGGATAGTCAGATTTTGATGTTAAAAAGATGATGTTACACGATACTATCATTATGCTACTGCTAACCATCACAGATGCTAAAAAAAATAAAGTTATGCTACCCCGTACTACCAAGATGTTACTCCTGATGATATTGATGGTAACGGTGACTATCTAGATAGCTGTCTGTATACGTAGCATTAAAGATGGTCACCCTAACCACAATTATGTTACCCACTACTATAAATTTCTCTCCGTGTTCTTAATATATTAATTTAAATAATTCGTAGGCCAGTTTTTCCACAATTGTTTGTTTATTAACTTTTGTTGTTAAAACAACGTTTCGGTAGTAGCCACTACCCTTATCAAGTTTAAATTAAAAGCACTGAAAAAAATTTTTTTTTGAGAGTAACAATTGATTTTATAATTTTATATACTTATATAAAATCCGGAAAAAGTGTATACTTACATAAAGCATTGTCAAGAAAATAATTAAGTTTTTGTAAAATAAAGTATTTTAAATATTATATCATTTTGGTTCAATTAATAAAAATTTTGTTTTCCTTTTTGTTGTTATATAATTAAAATTTAAAAGGATGATTTTTTATCCCTATATTGTATATAGTGATAATATAGATAATATATAAAAAAATAATAATATATAAAAAAAAATTGAATCGTCAAGGCAAGCATGCAGAAATTTTGTGGGACTCATGATGGTTGAAAGAAAAACAAAGTGAACAATCGAATCCCGAAACGTATTTCTTTATGGTTAGAACAATTCGGTAATGTTACTTTCTGTCAAGGTTGGCCACTTTGTACTTAAAATGCGCAAAGATGAGGACGAGCTACTTCATTTTCAAAAACTGCGATTCTGAATAACTCATAATATAATTGATAATCTTATTATTATTTTTATTTAATTTTATTAATATTTCAGTGCAAAAATTTTATTTTATTTATATTGTTTATTTTCATTATTCGTGATTCTATTTTGGATCTCTTATTGACAAATATCGACTACAGTGTTGTACATTTATCAGATGAAATTTTGTTATCGCCGGATGCTTATCACAGGGATCACAGTGGCATTTCCACTTGAAAATAGGTAAAAAAAGGGGATTTTTCAAAAGAAAAAAGGGGATTTTGACAAACACGATAAAAATTATTTTGTTACAACATACAGGATTTATTTTCTTAAACTTTTATTTTTCCTTCTATTTACAGCTTTTTGGATTAAATCTGACTTCATTTGCTTCTTTTTTCTTAAATAATTTAAGAAAAAATAGCCATTTTTTCTTTTTACGGTATAATATGGAGTTTTCTAAGGTTTGTTTTATGTTGCGCGCTATTTAAACATTTTACAAAAATAAAATCAGGGTGTCCAACAAGGATTGAGAAAAAGATTCCCTGACTTTTTACTTTCCTTATTTCTTCTTCGACTATAATATGGTTAATAAAATAAAAGAAAAAAGTAATCTCATACTTAGAGGAAAAATCCTCTTCTAATATCCTCTTAATGTTTTCCTCTCAAAACAAAACTATTCGACTTGAATGTATATTATTTTTATTATTAATTAATTCATTGTTTTATTATTGACATTTGTCCAAAACATTGAATATTTAAAGGAAATAAATAAAGGAATAAATATATATTAAATAATGTAAGAAAAATAACTTTTAGTTATTAAATATAATTATTTAATTAAAAACATTAAATTTAGTGCATAAAATTAACTTTTCTTCATCAGTTCATAACCACAATTTGTAAATAATATCCGAGAGAAAAATCCTCTAAAGTAAAGAGTATTAATTTTGATACCATATATAAGAGGAAAATATGCATTCAGTTTAGAGGATTCCGCATTAAATCAAGATTACTTCTTTTAGGGTGAGCGATAAATTAATATCGAATTAGAGTAACAAATAGTAATAAAAACCAATTTAGTCTTGTTAGATTACAAAATTTTTAAATCCACAAAAAATTTTAACTTTCTTATTAAATTTATAAAAATGTCCCTGACTTTCCTGAACGCTGAACACCCTGTAAAATCTTTTTAAAAAAATTATTAAATCATAATTTTTACTTTTCAAAAAAAAATTTACTGAAAAAGGGGAATAGGGGAGAAAATATTTGAATTAAGGGGATTTAGGGGATTTATTTTTTTAAGGGGAAAAAATAAGGAAAAAGGGGAAAAAAAGGGGACGAACTGTGATCCCTGTTATCATCCACCTCTTATTTATGAAATTAAATTACCTATGGTTGTGGGTGAGTTTTCAGATTTTTCTTTGAAGTTTAATTTTAAAAGAACAGATTTTGTTTCTATTAACAATTACTTGTTTGAAATAAATTGAAATCAGGAGTTTGCAAGTGCAATATGTCATCTAAATGATGCTTCGGAAAGAGTACGTTGTAACGCCGTGGATGAAATGGTGACAATTTTTTAATAGGCATGTGAACTGTGCATTTGAACTTTTTATTCCTATATCTTATTGCAGGCCGTCTACTTATCCTATTTGGTTTTCCAATGAACTAAAAAATTTGATGATTAAGAAAAAAAAACTGCTCATGCTGTTTACAAACGCACAAGGGAGTTGAGCGATTACGAACATTTTGCCATTTTACGTTCTAAATGTAGAAAACTTTCTGAGCACAATTACAATCAACGTTCTAAAAGTAGAAAACTTTCTGAGCACAATTACAATCAACATTTAATTGAGACTGAAAATAATTTAATCAATGATCCTGGGAAATTTTTGAATTTTGTCAATATAGGAATAAATCAAAATCTAGTTTTCCCAGTCAAATGTATTTAGATGACAGTAGAGTTGATGATGATTTCAGTATCGCTAATTCTTTTGCCAAATTTTTTAAGTCAGTTTATAATTGTCCAGACAGCACTGCCGCTTATCGACCACACATTTCGGGGGAAGTTGATTTGGACTTCGGTTTTGTTTCCGGGAGAGATTTGGAGGTAAAGATACGGGCTCTGAAAAATAACAAGAGTACGAGCCATGACGGTGTACCAGTTTCTTTTCTGAGGTCGTGCTGTTCCTCGATCATTGAACCCCTTTTGTTGATATCTAATGCTTCCTTAAAAATTGCCTACTTTCCTAAATATTGGAATTTGGGAATTATTTAGCCCATTTACAAATCTGGTGACAAGTCTAGTATTAGAAACTACAGACCGGTCACCATTTTAAGTGCCATTCCTAAGCTATTCGAAAGTCTTCTTTATGATCAATTGAATTTCGCATTCAAGAATGTTTTGATTGAGGAGCAGCATGGTTTCAGGAGAGCGCGCTCGGTCTTGACGAACTTATGTCTCTTTACTCAGTATGTGTCAAACGCCTTGGATTGTGGCTTGCAATTAAATATTGATAAATTACGAGCATATGGTGTGTCGGATATGGTAGCGAAGTGGCTGTCATCCTATTTGCGTAACAGGCGTCAGGTCGTGAGGGTCAATGGCACCCTATCTTACGAATTTTATTCGACTTCGGGAGTGCCACAGGGCTCTCATCTGGGTCCTCTGCTTTTCTTGATTTATG